TTGTTGGATAGTGATGATTAGGCAAAAACTTTATATATGGCTATATACAGGGAATTAGCGAATCCTTTCGAATCCAGTTTCAATATCTGCTTTGCCCAGGATGTTGCTGACAATCGTCATACCCGAGCAGAAGTCTAGCGCACGGGAAGCGGCTGATCAAATCGCAGCAGAATACATGCTCCTTTTGTCAAATATTCTAAGGGTTTGCCTTTCACAAACCTAATAGGAACCCATTGCCGATTCGATCTCCTGAAGGTGCGCGGTGAGAGAGAGAGAGATCGCCAGATCAGACTTAAGCCAATGCCCATCACAATTGCCGCACCAGAAAACAAACAGCTTGGGCACAGCTGCTAGTTCAATTAACCTTGTATTGCGGCGGTGTAAGGATCTGCAGCCACGCAGGCTTTTGAAGTTCACTCATTGCGGCCACACGGAAGGCATGCCTTAGCAAAGTTAACCAAACAATCTTTCTCACCTGGCATGTGGGAAAGCCCGAACAACTGCAACAACAACTCCTACTGAACCCACAGACTGCAGACAAACATGGTCAAACCCGTTGGTCGAGCGCGCTCGAGCACAGACTCGGGGGCCACACCTGCCCCAAAGGAGCCAGCACTTTGGTCATTGAAGGCGCCAGCCTCTGGATTCAGTGACCCATCAAGTGAACGCCAAAATCATGTTCGCTTTCCAAAAGATACCGTCAGCGTTGCTTATGGTTGGGCAATTTTGCGCAACAGGTATACGATGCTTGTGGCCAGAAACTTGAGGCAATGAGAAAATCTAGAGGCATGGGCGTCGTTCACACACCCCAGGAAGGTCAATGGAACGATAACACCAAAAACGTGTCCGCTTCCTGGCAGCCTGCGCAAAATAGGCGCAGATGTAGATGGGCTGAAATGCGTAGCATGCATACATGTGTGATATATATATATATACATTCAGTCAATGGCTTGCACTACGCTCCCTTTTCCTTTCGCTTGAACTCCAGTCAATGGCTTTCTGCCAATTGCATTGGTATCCATGCATCAGCATGGACCTGA